TTTACTATTTGGCCATTGTATTAATAAAGCGCCCATCAGGTATAAATATCTGTTGGATGTTTGTTTGTTTATTTAACATTTTAACCAATCTTGTACAAATTTTTAAAAAAATTCCAAAACGGGTAAATTGGTTCATAGCTTTAAGTGTGACATGAACTAAACTTATTAAGAAATTTTTGTTAAAATTTATATTATAATTAATATTATAAAAATAATAAATATATAGGTTTTTTGTTATTTTTGTTGTTAATATAGACAAAGTTCTTGATACACATTTGAAGGAAAAAAAAGCAATTTGTTTTTATTCTGCACACACTTCTTTGTGTCTTACGAAGTTTTCTTATAATTTCTTCCTAAATCGGTAAAATTATTTAAATTATATAGCTTTTTAATAGGCCAAAAGATACTTAATATATTGTCAGGGTGGTCACAAGTTTCAGATTATCAATTTCCCTCACAATTTACTGACATTAAAATTATATTCCCTGACAAAATTCTTTTTGCAGGAAAATATGAAAGTTTTTGAATTTTATATATAAAATATGACCATGATTTCTCCGAAATTTAAAAATCTAAAACAGTAAATTTTTATCAATTTTTATTTACTTTGTTCGAAAATAATTAAATCTTAAAAAATTATGATAAAACAATTCTAAGAATTAGTTTTTAAAAATATTTAAATGTACCTAATTTTTCGAAAATAATTGAATTTCTTAAAAAAATTTTGTATAATTTAAAAAAAAATTAATCTCTTGAGAAATTTCAATTAAAAATTTTGAACATGATTTTTGTCTCCAAAATGTTAAAAATAAATTTTCTAAAATACTATTTTTGTGTGTATTTGAATTTTCGGAAATATGTAATTGAAAATATTGAAATTAATTAGAAGCTAATTTTCATTTTTAAATTTACATTTAAATATTTTTCATTAAAATTTTTGATAATTCAATTATTTTCAAAATTCACAATGAAAATTCTTCAAAAGTTGATTATCAAAAATTGTAACAAAATACTTGAAAAAAATAATTGTTTTCAATTAAATTTTACAAAATTTCAATTATTTTAAAAAATGATTCAAGAATAATTTTTGAAAGATTTGTTATAGTTATTTTTCGCACTATAAAAATGAAAATAATTTGCATTTTATACTAAAAGATGTGGTATTTTGTTGCAATATTTGGAAGAAAAGTCGAAAATCCGCAATCAGGGTTGCTACAGAAGTCTGTTTTTAAATTTCCATGACTTTTCCAGGTTTTCCAGTACCAAATCTGATAAATTTCCAGGTCACCTTTTGAACATTATAAATTAAAGCAATTTTTCTGTATTATAAAAATATTCACGTTAGATTATCTCTATTTGATTATTAAAGCACAGACAGGGTGTCTACTGAAAATATGACTTAAAATTCCAGGACATTCCAGGACAGATTTTTTATTTTTCCAGGACATTTACATGTGTAATATTATTTCATACTAGCTGTCGTACCCGTCTTCGACGGGTTTTAGTTTCTACCAATACATTTAACAGTGTGTCTACCAATTTGGAAAATAAGGAAATAGCTCAGGAATTTAATTTGACCGGAAAAAAATAATAATTAGTTAGGTACCATTATAGCTATTTCAGTAGGAAAATATTACTATTTGAATCAGTGATTGACTTTTTATTATCAAATTAGTTATTTTAACCAATTCAAATGCAGAGAACAATATTTGTCAATTTGTAGTACTTTAATTAATGCATTAAAAATTTATCAAATTTCCCACCCAGTTTTTGGAGTTATAGTAGAGTCTAATTGGAACTAATTGTATCGCAAAGGTTACGACTGCTAAAACCTAACATAAGACCTATATTTTAGACTGAAAGTAGGGCTTAAATTTTGACCCGGGTCTGTTTTCATAAATATTATACATCAATAAAATTAAAGTAAAAAGCAATTTTTTAAAAGCGAATTAATATAATGAAACTTTTTCTTAATTTGATTGGAAAATTCCCAGCTTTTTCCAGTTTTCCCCGTTTGGTAGTTACCCTGTTAAATGTATTAGTAGAAACAAAAAACTGTCGTAGACGGGTACGACAGCTAGTAATATAATCTATATTTTATATGAACTTAAGAAAGAGTATTTTCATAAAAATAAGTAAATTTTTATAGCCATTTGTAGATATATTTATGGATAAAATCAAGTAAATTTAAATTTAACAAAAAAAGATAAACCGTGAAAAAGGACAAAGCAGGAAATTTTGTTAAATAAAATAGACACCGTGTTAACTTTTGTCTTTACATTGCTCAAAACATCTCTAAAAGTTAAATCTAGAGTTAAAATAAAAAAAACGTTTTAACATATAAGTTTTTGCCTAGTGGCATATAATATGCTTGTATTGTATCAGAGGTGACTTACAATTTCTTGACATCCTGCAATATCATTTTAATCATAAAAAATTTGCATTTTCAATATTTCTGAAATTCTTGAAAATATTAGATTAATTTGATAAATAATTCTCAATTACACTATTTTTACGTCAAAATAATAATCAGAGACTCCAAAAATACTACTGAATTAAACTTCATAGTAATTAGTATCGATTTTTTGATATTGAAAATATTTTTATATTTACTTATAGGATAGTATTTTTTGCAAAATTATGCTAAAATCTGACTAAATAACATATAATATTGAATTTTAGAAAGTTTAAAAGCTATCCATTAAAAATGTGAAATTTGGAAATTTTCCATTTTTTGAAGTTTTTGAAAATATTTTTATATTTACATCTTAGTTATAGGATAGTATTTTTTGCAAAATTATTCTAAAATGTGACTGAATAACATGTAATACTCAAATATAGAAAGATTAAAAGCAATCCATGAAAAATGTAAAATTTTGAAATTTTTGATTTTTTGAAAACATTTGTATACTTACATATTAGTTATAGGACTTTATTTTTTGCAAAATTATGCTAAAATGTGACTAAATAACATGTGATACTCAAGTATAGAAACTTTAAAAGCAATCCATGAAAAAATTAAAAATTTTGAAATTTTCGATTTTTTGAATTTTTTGAAGAAATTGAATATCTCCCGTTCTAATTAATATTTTTTAAATCTGTAAATTTATAAACCTTCCTTGGGTCAATACCTAATAACCTACCAAGTTGGACTTAAATCGATTTACATGTTTTTGTGTGATTGGGGTACAAAGTTTTTGTGACAGACATACGTACATACATACGTACATACATTAAATTTTTTAAGAATATTTTTGGAATCCCTGATGTCCATAATAACTAATCATGTTAACATTTTGAAGTTTTAAGCAATGTACAGACAGACATCTGATTTTATTAATAAGGATTACGATTAACATAATTTAAATTAACCTACTTGAACAAAAATATTAATTTTATTATAAAAAGAGTTAAAAATCAATATTATATAATATAGATATCAGATTCTTTAATCAAACGACAAATTAAAATTATTTTTTGATGGATCAAAAAAATTATTTTTTTAAATTTGAGTAAAATTTTTAAATTATTGAATATTTAAAAGCAAAATATGAAAAATTCAAGGATATTTCAGGACATTTCCAGGAATTCCAAGACATTATTTTTTAAAAGAAAAAATGTAGTAAAAAATATTAAGTGGAATAAAATTCCAGGCATTTCAAATTTCCATGACATTTCCAGGTATTCCAGACCTTTTTTAAAAAATCCCTGACTTTTCCAGGTTTTCCAGGTTCTGTAGCAACCCTGGCAATTTTTGAAAATAAATCGAAAAATGTCTCAATTTTCTTAATTTCATTGACAAAAAATTTTTTTTTTTGTCATTTCCTTGACGTTACTGACAAAAATTTTGATTTCCTGACATTTCCCTATTATAATAAATATAAGCAATAATAATAAAAAATTAATATTATTTATTAATAATAGTTTTTACCAAGTTGAAGTCCACAACGTTGATCAACGAAAAAAAATTGTTCACTTAATAAATTAATTAAAAATAACGCAGCAATATTAACACAAAAATATTTATAAAAGAAAGAATGATGTTTATATTTTGATAATAATTATTTTACAATTAAATATTAAAATAAAAATAATACTTGAATGCATTAAATAAATTTTTTTCGTTGATAAACGTTGTGGACTTCAACTTCGTTAGTTTTTTACCTTTTGCACTCTTTTTGTTAAATTGTCTCTACTTCATATACATATTTAGTTGTTTTTAAAAATTTTTTTTTAATTTATCTAAACATTAGCTTGCCCGTATATTGAAATATTAAAAACTGTTTATTTTGACTGGACAAATAGAATCCCTTTTTTGTTTGGCCAGATTTAGATATTAATAATTGTATATTTTTTTTAGATTCACTGGCCAAGTAACAAAACCAACTTATTCTGCCAGTTCACTGGCAGAATATTTAAACCACCTTATTTTGACAGTTAACTGGCCGAATAGACACTCCGTAAAAATAATCAATTTTAAGAAGAATTTTAGTTAAAAATTCTTGAAAATAATAATTTTATCACTGGGTCATCTTTTAATAATTATAAAACATGAAGAAATCGATCACTTCGAGTCGAAGACTCGGAGTTATCGATATATTCATGTTTTATAGAATTATGAAAAATTGAATTTATAGTTTTAAGTAAATTGTTCTCTTATTTGACTCGGACTGGTTATATTTTTGTCAGTTAGTCCGTAATTTTTCATTTTTGGTCTGTATTTTTAAATACTTTCACTGCTTCGAGCCCTGCCCATGGTTTAATCATTTTTTACCCTATTTATGAAAAGTTATTCATATATTTCTATTATTATTATTATTATTATTATTATTATTATCTCTGAGGAAGCAAAGTGTTGATGAAATGAACCCAACTTGGCAGCGGTTTCTTCGTTTGAATAAGATTTTGTTAGAACAGAGAAATGTTATATTATTAAGAAAGGGTCTCTTCTTTTGGGACCAATAAACAAAAGAGTGCAAGTGCGGCAAATAGAGACTTACTTGAGGAAGTAAATTTGGCCTTCAGGTGTTCGCGCCTGCTCCCAGCCGTGAGGTAAAGGACCGAGATCGTCGACAGTGCTGATAACATCGTAACTGCGCTGCTTCTGATGATGATGGTGTCGAGCATGAGGCTGGGGTGCATGTTGTGTGGCCTGCTGTGCAGAAGCGTACGTCTGTTGGAGAGATGCAGGACTGCTGTGCGCGCGAGGATGAGCAACTGTCAGGCCTTGGTTCCCAGAGGCCGGTGAACTGCCGCTACCGGCACCACTGGCGTTGCTGTTACTTCCGGTCCCCGAGTTTCCGCCATTGGCTGTGGATCCGGCCGCACCCGCGGATCCGACACCCGCTGCGGCCGCTCCGAATGCGGAATCAGCCGAATTCTCCCGCGAGTGAGCGATCGAGGGGCTCTTGCTGCCAGTCGAGGGCGGATTGAAGAAGGAGTCGGGCAGGTTTCGCATCCGCAGCGGAACCTGCAGCGGCCGCTTCGAGTCGGGCTTGAGGACGGTGTCGAACAAGGCCTGCAGGTCCGACTCCGAGTTCTGGTCAACCCGGACCACCAGGTTGTTCTTGGACAACTGGTCCACTTCTTGCTTGAGCGCCATATTGGATCCCGGCTCTTGTAACTCTAAGGTTCTCGTTTCTTCCGTTTCTCCCTTTCTTTCTCGCGTTCTTTGGCCTCAGTGCTCGAGAGCTGGTCGCAAAAGTGTGCGTCATGCACACGCACTCTACACACACGTACCAACCGTCCCCGTCTCGAGTCGCACACTTCACCTCCTCTTTGCCCCACCTTCTTCGGTGCAACAGACCACCGTTCTTTCTCTGCCTTTTTAATCTTCCCTTCGCTACCAGAGTTCTGCTGGCACTCACTTTTTCTTCAACACTTGTTGGCAGGAACTAGAGACGAGTCGAGTACGCACCGAGTGAAAAGTGAAAAAATGGTCCTAGCCTACCTTTTCCAAAGTCCGCCAGCCTCACCTCGATGCAGCAACGCTCGCCGACCACCGAACGACGATCTTATTGGCCTGCGCTCTTTATCACGACTACCTGCGACTGCGAGAGTGCGAGTCCTCGCCTCTCCGCACTCGTTTCCACTCACTCTTCCTTCTAATGCTGTCTCTGTCTCCTTCACCTCCTCCTCTCTTCCTTTTTCTTTCTTTCCTCTTCTTTTTCCTTTTAGCACAGTGCTCCCAATTCTTACCTGCACTCAGTCATTACAACACTGTTTTTAACGGTGGCGAATTTCCGGTTTGCGAACAATACCATCGGCTTCCTTGATGACGGTACACGCGGATGGTCCCAGAACTTGAAATTGCTTTCTTTTCCTCGGCAAACACTTGTGAAGCACTAATGCCATCCGTTCATTTTCTCTGTCGGGTCACAATCGAGTATGGCATTCAACAAGTTAAAACTTCAATCCAAGCACAGTGCGAAACAACGGAAACAACACAAAAATTTGAGAAAAACATTTCAACACATGTACGCGCTACACACGTCGCCCAAGCACTCAGCCGAGCCAAGGCGAGGCGTCATCGAGGCGTGTTGGCTGGTGCTAGTGCCTTGTGGTGTTGTTCGTTGCTCTTCTATCTTGGCAAGTCACTGGCTTCTAGCTCGCGAGTCGGTGGTGGGGGCACTATCTGACCTGGGTAGATCCGCAATGCGCGACTCACCATTTTCTCTGACCAATTCCAAGTGAAATTTTTTCCTCTCCGATTCTTTTACCAATTTACTATAAAGCAAATAAAACTTGCCTACCTACATCTAATTTACATAGTTGTCTACTAAATTAATATTTTCAAAAACAACCAAGCTCTACACTGTGACCCCCCCTTCTCCTTTCTAAATAGAAAGGAAAAAAATTCAGCGTTTCTTTTCAGTAATTTTCGTATTTGTAGGTTACAAAATAATTTTTACTCCTTGACAATATTAAAAAGACCTACGATAACGATAAATCTGGGCTCCCATTTTAAATAACAAAACTTAAATTTCATCGAAATTATCGTTTTCTACAAAACACTGTCGTTTTAAAAACATTGCCTACAAATTTCACGTTGATGGCGTTTGTTCTTTATAAAGTGAGATAGTATTTTCAAATCATAATTAACAACTATTCTAAAAAAGTATTAAAAAAGAAAATAAAAGCGAATTGACTGCGTATTATCTTAAGAGAACGTTTAAAATATATCATTTTCAAATATCTTAAGTTTTACTTTTTCTTTGTTCAGTATTAATAAATTAGGGGAGACCGGGGCGTAATAGATCATTTCAATTTATTTAAAAGCGATAAGTCGAAAGAATTTCGCTTTATTTTCAAATTAATGTAATCGGTCTCCTGCAAGTTTATCCAAAGTTTCATTGTTACTTATTCATTATTGTAAAAATATCATAAATAAACTAAATTTGACACGTCAAAGTAACTTTTTAGTTTTTAATCTTTTGTTATTACCCAAAAAGAGAAATGAAAGTTTCATTGTTACTTATTCATTATTGTAAAAATATCATAAATAAACTAAATTTGACACGTCAAAGTAACTTTTTAGTTTTTAATCTTTTGTTATTACCCAAAGAGAAATGGCTCATTACTTTGATTTCAAATTTTCGTCAAATTGATTACTCGAATTGACGTCTATTTGATGATAATATTTTCTATAGTAATAAATTAATTTTTAAAAGATAATTTTGAAATAAATTTTTTATTTTTAAATTTTTATTTCAAAATTTTACATTAAATCTTTTGAAGATTTAATTATTTTTAGAATTTGGAATATTACAATTCTTCAAACTTAAATTTTCAAAAATTTTTATAAAATACTTTAACCGAGACTTGTAAAGTAATTACTTTTTAATTAACAAATAAAATTTAACCCTAGTAAAAATAATGACGTGTAATTACACGTAATTATTTTTAATAGGGAATAAATTTATAAAAATTTTTTTTCGAAATTTTAACATTTTTAATTTTAAGTAAAATTTGTTTATTCTAACGAATATTAGATATTAATTTATCAATTTTTCTATTATATTTTATCATCAAATTGAGAACTTTTATCAAATTTATACGTCAATTTGATGTTGATATCAACTTGATGAAAATTGAAATTTAATAAAATGCATACAATCTAATATATCTGCAAGTAAATTAATTTAATAAAATATAATAATATTAATTATTACATTTTTAAGTAACACTTTAAAAATATCAAATTTTTGTAAAATATTGATTATTGATTATAATTTGGAAATTTTTGAAAAATATTTAAAGTCTAAATGTAATATGATTAATTTTCGCTGTTTATTTTATTTTACTATTGAAACTTCAATTGATTAAATACACAGAAAAGTTTGAATTTCTAAATCATAATTATACTCTTTGATCTACATACGCCTCTGTTCGGGACGTATTATGGATCACCTAGCACTGCCTCCAAAAAAATGATGTAGAGAGGAAAATATGGGCGATATTTAATCATTTCTTTTTTTAAATTAAAGCTGAAATATAAAATATTATTTTCTGTATGGTCAATTTTTGTTTCGTTTGAAAATAGCGCAGTTACACATCAAAAAGTGAACAGTAATATTAATTACATTCTAATATAAATAAATTTATTTTATTACACCACATTAAATGTTTTTAATTAAATAATTGTAATTAATTACTTACATTGCATTAGCTGATAAATTTATTGTACTTGAATTTAATGTTTTTAGCATCAAAGTCTTAAAAAAACTGTTCCTATTTTTATTGTTAAGAATAAAAAAATAAAAATATTCTACATTAATATAGAATTCCATTTAATATAGGTATGAGACTTTTTTTTTCTAGGTGTACTCTCTAAATCTGAAATAGAGAAGTCACTCACTAATTCAAATTAGTAAACATTTAAATTAGTAAACATTTCAAGTAATTTATAAAATAATAATAATAATAAATTTATAAAATTTTTCATCATTTTGTTAGTTTCATATTTTTTACTGAAACTTTAATAAGAAATTACTATGATTTAGAGGTGTAGAAATATCCAAGAAAATATAAAAAATTTGATTATATATATACTTTAATAATTATAGCGTGGACTTGGCTTGGGTCGAATTTCGAAATCCATTTAAAATTCATGTTTTTGCACATCTTTACAAGGAATTAGTAAAAATTTTTATTAATATAAATTACTGGACGTTTTACTAAGTTAGATTTAAAATAACATATCAACAGTCGACATTGTACTATACTGAGAAAAAAATCTATTCAACTTTAAAAGAATCATTTTATCTTAAAGGATCATTCACATATTACGTCACCGACTCACAGTGGGACCAAACTGCAATTTACTGTTCATAATAGTCTAGAGCTTTCATTTTTTAACCGATTGTAATGAACTTTATTTTAAATGAAAGATTATTAAATTTGGAAGAGATTTGTCGAGGCTGAATTTTAAATTTCAATTTGTTTATATTTATTTTTTTATTGCAAAGTTTAACAAAAGCATCTATTTTTAAGAAAAAGTTATCTCCAGCCTCTACAATCGAATGGCACGTGCTAAAAACTTTTTAGAAACACACCTAGAGTACTCTGTAAATTGTAAAAAATTTGTGCTGGTAAATATTCGAATGTTATAAACAATTTATATTAACAAATAATTAAGTTTACAACAAATTGTTAATGTGGACAAACGCTTTGATAGATTTTGATGAAATTGTATACTTATAGCATTTTGGGGTCGCTGATTACGAATTCAATGTTGGTTTTTCAAAATTCAAAATGGCGGATCCAATATGGCGGATGATTTTTTTGAAAATCGATTCAATTTAGCTATAAATCGTTACTCGGGGGTCTTTGGGGTCGCTGATTACAAATCCGATGTTGGTTTTTCAATATTCAAAATGGCGGATCCAATATGGCGGATGCTTTTTTTACATCGATTCAATTTGGCTAAAAATCGTTACTCGGGGTTTTTTGGGGTCGCTAATTACAAATATGACGTCAGATTTTTAAGAATACAAAATGGCGTTGATAATATGATAAAAATCAAATTTAAATTGTTTTATACGTTAATGTTTAAATTGATTTTATATACGTTTTTAAATAAAGGTTAAAAAATTTACTGAAGATTTTTATAGTCTTGTTTTGACAATTTTATTCATTTATACTTATTTTGATACTGAATAATTCAAAAAAGTAATAATTTTTTACAACTTGTGATTAATTTGTACACTTTAAAGTATTATGTTCAAATCCATCAATATATAACAAATTTTTTAACAAATTTAAAAAATATTATTGCTTTAAACAATTTTTTAACATCATCGTATAATTTAAATTTTTAAAAAAAATTCTGCATAGTGTAAGGATTTTTAGCACAGATTGGTAGTCTCATAGTGATTACATGAGCTTTTCATCTTTGCCGCGAGATTGCTTGAAGCTTTTTCACCTATAAGTGAGAACGATTCGTTTTTTATTATAAGAGCTTATTACATTTGTGAATTAATAATGTAAAAGATTTTGATATACTAAAAATATTAATTGAGGCCTTGGATCCAATAACTCGCCCGACGCTCGAAGGCACGCGCTAATACCAGTCGGGTAGCAGTGAGTGGCCCAGAGGCGCTCACTGCTCACTGACTGTCAGTTGCGCGTTCCTTCGAGCGTCGGGCGAGTTATTGGATCCAAGGCCTCAATTATACTTAAAAAACCCAAGAAACCTCTCCGAGGAACAAGTTTTAAGTACATCTAATCAATTTTTTAGAAAGGCGCCTTACACATTATATCGTTCATTCAAAATGTTAAGAAACTAATTACAGATTCGTAATCAGCGACCCCAAAAACCCCCGAGTAACGATTTTTAGCCAAATTGAATCGATGTAAAAAAAGCATCCGCCATATTGGATCCGCCATTTTGAATATTGAAAAACCAACATCGGATTTGTAATCAGCGACCCCAAAGACCCCCGAGTAACGATTTATAGCTAAATTAAATCGATTTTCAAAAAAAGCATCCGCCATATTGGATCCGCCATTTTGAATTTTGAAAAACCAACATTGGATTCGTAATCAGCGACCCCAAAAACCCTTGAGTATACAATTTCATCAAACTATTAAAGCGTTCGTCCACACCCACATAGCACCGACATTTTAATAAAATTTTATTAAAGCTTTATTTGCAAACTTCGGGGACTTTAGAAGTAAACTTGAGTAAAGCTTGTATAAATATTTAAATGTCCGCCTTGAGTAAATCTTTAGCGCGAAACTTAACTGAAGTTTGAAATTAAAGTTTCGTTAAAGGTTGACTCGAAACTCGACTGAAACTTGAAATTAATGTTTTATTAAAGGTTGACTCGAAACTGGACTGAAACTTGAAATTAAAGTCTCAGTAAAGGTTCAACTCAAAACTTGACTGAAACTTGAAATAAAAATTTCGTTAAAGGTTCGTCTCGAAACTTGATCGAAGCTTTAAATTAAATATTCGTAAACTGTTGGGTAAAAATATTAATAGCTAATAATAAAGTCGATTAAAATGAGAACAAAAAGAACAGTATATACCCACATAGCACAGTTTTTTCCGGGAAGTTTCCAGGAA